ATGGGCCCCGGGCCATCGGGACCCAGTTGACGACAAAAGACCGCCAATTTTAGAACACATCGGTTTGAGGCCAATTTTTTAGGAGGCGCACTGATATTGATTTTTTAAAACAGGACTGAAGCTTTTTTTGAAAAGTAAGCACGCATACCCGGTGGCAGTTGGAAGCCTATAACCCTTTTTGACTCTCCGAAGGTGCATGGAATTTTGGATTAAGGTTAAGCAGTTGCCGTCATTGGAACGATTACCTGATGTGTGCTTAAACCGATTTACCATGAGCGAATAAACGTCTGTCCAATCCCATTCTATTGTTATTTTCATCCAGAGCCAAACTCGTCTTCCGTTGCGCATTTTCACGTGCCGAGGACGCGCATTTTTGTGTTATTCCAGCGTCTGTCGCGGTCTAGTGATAGCCTGAGACTGTTCCCAAATTTTATCGATGTTACCCTCCTTTTTCATCGATGTTACTACGCCTAAAATGCAACTGGGATATATTTCCGTTTTGCTGCCAGTTTATAAAGAACAAGCAAGTTGAGCACCTTTTGCGCCTCCCTGAGCGCCAAACTACTCCAGACTGTAATTGGGTCCCTAGGGGTATCATAAACCTTTCCGACGGGACCCAGAGTATATCGCCAGTATCTTTCCGCGCCTAAAGTGCGCAACAATTTGGTTAAAAATTTTCTTCAGCAGCAGCACCGCTTCGAACGACAAAATTCCGTCCACATTATTTAGACTGGAGTTGAATAGTTGATGGGTATCATGAGCATTCCTAACGAGCTTGAAGCACGTCTAGAGTTTGCGTGACGGTACCTGGATTCTCCAGGTCGATCAAGGGCTTCAGTCTTGCCGTTGCCGTGCATTGCAGCAGAGGAGCGAGACTATGGTATTGACTTAAGTTATATTTTGGTAACAACCTTCGTTTTTACGCCCTCCTATGGGGTAGCCCGGACCCACCGGACCCTCGTTTTGGAGTTCCCTCGGACGTCGCCTTGTACTCTTTGGAACCCCACGCTCAAAATACAAGCCTCATGAGGATTTCCCGGGCTTGGGCGCCTCTACCATAATTCCAGCCATGACCCGAGCATCTCGTGGGCTCCTGAGGCTGAGCAGCCACAGAGGCATATCAGCTGCCGGATGATTCCTTGGTGGACAGAATGGCCCACCACTGCTAGATAGGTTCCTGAGCGACAGGAGGGGCACTAATAGAGAGCCTTGGACCTTTATTTCAACCACTGGGCGTCCAGAGGGTCCTGAACGGCCCGGGAGGCTCACGATCAACCAGAAGGTCCCACGAGGAGCCAGAGGGACTCATAGGAGTCCTTCTGTTCTGGCTTCTCGTGGAGGCTCTCTCTGGAGAGGCAAACAGTGCCCTGAACAGCTAACAAGACTCTGCACAATGTTTACAAGATCCTGCACAACAAGTATCTAGAGAGTCGTGAGTGTAAAGCTTAATGACTCTGGCGAATAAACGAGCCGGTGAACGGGCCGGGTGAGCACTCAGATGGCCAGAAAGGACCCTGAGCAATTAGAGGTATTCAGTGGCGCCCAGGGAAGCACCGGGCCATCAGTAAAGCCCCTGGGCAGTCATCGGAAACGCCGCCGGCCAGAGGGGTCCTCTGTGGGCAGGAGTGGCCTGCACAGCCAACACGGCGCATGAGCGTCCTTGGGTACAAAGAGGTCCCCAGGGGCGCAGCCAGAGTCTTGGTTAGAAGAGGTACAGGGTTGAAAAGCGTCCCTGATGGTGAAAGCCCCCTTCCCCATAAACAAAATTCATCGGGTGTGGCCCATGTGAATTCGAGGAGGCACGATTTTCATCGTTTAATTTTTATTTTTACTTGTTTGCGTAAACAAGCCAGAAGTCATCGGAAGATGCGATTCCATTTTGTATTTTGAAGTTAGTGCACTGGAGGAACTAGACTTTAAATGACTGAGTGCAGCAAAGTGCTGGCACTATTCAATTTACAATGGTCCAGTGAATTCGCTCTATCGATAGCTTTCAGGGGCTTTGGCGGAAACGCAACTTGTAGATCGAAATTGGGTCGAAATTGTGTAGCAACGTACCCAAGTCACATTCCTCTTGAAATTTGTAGCCTGCGACTAGAACTGAACAAAAAATGGTTACGCAAAAAGTTAAAAGCATGCGCGCTCCCAAGCATTAGAAACAAGAGCCCGACACCCGGCGTTGCAGTCTCTGGAGGCTGCTTGTCGTCGGTTGGCGGCCACTGGGTGGACGAAAACGACGGTGTTTTGAAGAAAACGGTACCTTCGAACGTTTTAGAACACCAATAACAGCGTTTAAATGTTTATTGAGGGTTCTGTTCGACCTATGACATCTTTAGATTGATGGTAGGAACGGATTAATGCTTACAGTACCGCGAACTGGCGTTGAAATCTGGTAGTGGAACTGAAAAAGCAAAGGCAAAATCTGCACTTTACGTGTTGCTATAACTGTTAAACCGTGCACAGGACAAGCTAAACATTATACATGTGAATTGTGCCGCTCAGCATAATCCTTACACAGTGAGGATTAATTGAAAAATACTTTCAAAAGCCTTATTTCACGACTGTCTGTCAGTCTTGCGCGTCCTGCCTCGGCCGTCTGACGTGAGCTGTGGCGGCCAGTTCCGCTCGGTTTGACGGAAACTGGCTAGGGTCTAAGAAGGCCCTTTGGACGGCTCGTCGGGTTCCCTCGAACATTGCGGACTCGGCGGATTCGGTGGACTCGGGCCAATTGCAAACAAAGGCACTCATGCCGCAGTTCGGGCCCCTGCTGCAGGGCCAGAATCCCTAATTCGAGCTACGGAGAGCCCTTCAGGCCATTCGGCACCCCAAATGGGTCGTCGATCGTCTGTCCTGAGAGGCACTTGGGCAGGGGACGACGCGCTCACTGTGTATCCCCGAACTTATATAGCATAATAGTCTTCAGACAAGGCTAGGGGAGCTAATGCATTTCTCGCATGGGGGCTGAAGTGCCTTCCGTCCCTTTTCGTGTTGCTCACCGGCTACCACTTTGGCGACACGCGGGCCGGTGCCCGTGACCGATCCGGAGGCCTTCAAAGGGATACATGATATATTGGGCCCTTCCGTGACGCCGAAGGCCCTTTTACCAGGACGGTTGGCCCTGGATCAACGCAAGGGCCCTTGAACGACGTAAAAAGGTCCTTTAGCTTCATATAGATCCCTGGTGTAGCGGGTTCAATGAATGGTATAGAGACCCCAGTTAGAAGCATTCGGACCCTGGATGAAATGGGCGGGAGGCCCCTGGCCCGTGCTGGAGCGTATGACTGACGCGGGGTCCTTTAATCGTCTCGCTGTGACCCCTTTCATATCTCCGTTCGTTATCAGAGTGCTCTGACCAACGCAAGATGCCTTCTAACATTCGATGCTTCGTTCCTATCTCCCAGAGCTTTAGAGGAGAACTTCACCAGCCAGAGGACCTCAATGACTCAACTGGCTTCTCAGTGACCCGCGAGGCCCTGTTAATCTATAACGGCCGATAAGCGGCCCAAGGGTCCCTTGGCACACAGGGCTCCGAGCAGACAATGCAACTCCTGATACGTTTAGGATCCATTGGGTGGTCCTGAAGTTTCCTGGGTGTTCCGAAGAGGCTTAGAAAGGCCGGAGGGCCCTAAATAGCTATAAAGGCAGTATGCCCCTGTTGGCCAGAAGAGCCCACTGCAAGGCTAGGGTCTGCTGAGCATCTAAAGGGAACGATTTTTACGCTCTGAGCCTTTATTCTGCCAAAGAAATGCTTTTCGCATTTTTTATTCGGAACGGTCATTTTCCTTCGAGCTGCGCGAGCCGGATAGGACTCCCGGGACCCCGTAATTTCTGGTTTCCCGGGGCCCGGCGATCCGGACCCCCCCCCCCCCCCCCCCCCCCGCCCCCCCCCCTCCGACCTTCACAGGATATCAAGCCATGATTGACTGTGCACGGCGCATGTGAGACGAAATTGGGGGATAATTTCCGGACCGGCCAAAGGTGAATTGGGGATCTTCGTGAATAATTATCCAATAGATAATCATTCGTTAAATAATTTTCCCTCGGCCGAATACGCCCTGTGTCTTGACCTTGAACACCACACGACCAATGGGATGCCAATATTTAGGTGACCTTTTGCGTCGTGCATGACTGGGTGACCTTTAAGTAGTCCGTACAAAACACCTTGCAGAACTTTGCGGGTGTCTAGCTCAGAGACCAGACAGGTTCTTAGTCTTACGAAGGACAAGGCTGTGAACTGCACCGAATGATCTCAAAATGGCTTTCTCAGTTCAAAACCCCGTACAAATATGGAACATTCCCTTCGAGGGGGAGAGGGGCTAGACCTCGGTGCGTTATCGTTATCATAATCGTTATCGTAATAACGATTTGTAAGCGTTTGCCAGGAGCTTCCGATGACACAAACAAAATACGGGATTAAGGCGGGGCAGGTCCCCTCCGGCTGCGCTTCAGACAATAAGGCTTTCTCTCGCACTCGACATCCGACAAGGATCGCACGCTCTTTCAACTGATTGTATGTGGGCGTCGCAAAAACACCAACACTGACAACCTTAGTTATATTCCTCTCACGCCTCAGAAACGCAGGTCAAAGTCGATGCGCCCTAGGACCCCAAATCATCATCATCATCATTAACGCTGGTCAGGCCTTATGCAGCTTTTAACATTGAAATTAGAACCGTCTTGGCCTCTTAACGTTTCACGGTTGGAACATGCAGTTTGCTCTTTTATTTGCATTTGTGTGGTGTGGTGTTGATCTGGTACTGGATATTGATAGCACTTAACAAACATAAAATCAACTTTTTCCACGCCTTTCAACCACCTTTCGCACTAGGTACTCATGGCTACTTGCGTTTTTGTTTTGACAGCTGTTTGATTTAAGGCGTTATCATCAGACTGACAGTCATTTTGTGGTTTTATGACGTCAATGTTCATCAGGTGAAAAGCTTGGAACCTTTATTGATGGATCAGCAGCGGCAGCGCCTTGAGATGGTAGTCGGGTTGCAGCGGCCTTGGCCGTAGCGGTCGCGGTAAGGGGTTTGAAGGTGGGGGGAGGTTGGGTGGGATGCAACCGACCCAGCTGATCTGGTAGAGGGTAAGTGGCTACAGAAAGGGCATGCAGTGTTATGTATTTCACAGAGAAGTTATTGAAGTGTTGGAGGCTTGTTTATATGTACAGGGCATCCACCGACGCAAATGTATGGTTTGCGTGCGGACCACAGTTAATTCAGTCTTTTTAAAAGGGCGACGCCCTTTTTATCTCCTGTTATCATTAGTCAACAGCTGAATTGAGCCTTAAGACGTCCTGGGATTAGGAATCGTGGATCGCAGTAACAATGCTATTGGACAGTTGTGCAGGAGCTGTTGTGCCTGGTGGGCTGGGCCCAGTGCTATACTGGAGGTAAATAGCACCCGCCCCCCCCCCCTCCCACTTGTTATGTTACAGTCATGTTATGAAAGGGAGAAGGTAATATTTGATCAACTCCTAATTTGAGCTAGATGTGTAAGGCTAAGCCAGTGGGCTTCAGTTGTAAGGTCTGAGTTGTAGTTATAGACTATAGCATGGTTTACAATCATGTGTTGAGGTACTGTTAGACTGTCTTTAACTCTGGACAGTTGAGATTCTTTGGTAATGCTGTTTCAAGACTTTCCTGTCCCCTCTGTGCTTTAAGGGAATGTTCCACACTTGAAGATATTCAAGTAAGCATTAGATGGGATGAAATAAGCTCACTTATAATTACTGGCACACTTTGAAGTGGAAAGCCTGCTCTAGGCAACCCAGTTTCTCTATTTAGTAGGTATGCTCCTGGATGTTATTGTTTGATTCTTGTGTAATGCCTTGCACAGCATAAACTGAGAGCCAATTGACAGGCATTATATCAGGCATTATACTCATGAACATGAGATGTAAAAAGCTTGACCATCATTCTTTTGTTGGTCTTGGTCACTGCATGGCCAAGAGAATGGCAGAATTTGAATGACATCATTATGGTCTCATGTATGCTATAGTAACCTTGGGATAGTCTGCAGGAAGTAGTCTGCACATCTCTGCAGGTGTGTAGCTCAGAAAGTACAGCTGTTTAGGTCTTAAGAAGGGCAGGGCTCAGGGCTGTGAGTTGTATCAAATGATCTTCAAGATGGCTGTTTCAATTCAAAATGTCATACAAATGTGGAGCACTCCCTTTGAAATCATATATGGATGGCCTTGGAACATATGATACCCATGGCATTGATGATTTGTTTCTTTTCTGGAGTGAAGTAGTAGTCAGGCCTGTACCTGATCTGCTGACTCTTGTGCTCTTATCCAGTCCACCATGCTTACATTGCTAGTTACTGTGTTTTCTAGATGTTAAGTGTGCTCTCCAAGCTTCACGGCTCCTTGTGAAAAGACATGATTGGTAGCATGTCCTCATGATCAAGGGTTGGATGCCTCTGTGACCACATTTATTCATTGACTTCTGTTGCTGGTGATGTCAAGAAAACACTACCATGTAACTTTACAGTGTGGCCTACTTGCACCTTCCCTCCCCGCCCCCACTTTTTTAAACGCTCCTTCGCCTATGCTAATGTACCTGAAAGCCCAAGCCAGCTGGCCATTCTCAGGACCAATTAACATCCTGTCATGGTGGGGAGCCAAGTCCAAAATGCTGTGCATGTACCAATATAGGGCGAGGACGGTAGCTGGAAAAACGTGTTGTTTGCATTGCTGACGTGTTTTCAATCATTCTGAAAAGCTGGTGATATGTTATGATTCAGTGCAATTTTAGAGGTGGTAAAAATGGTTTTGGTGTCTCAAAACAATGCTGCATGCTAGATTTGGCTTACACTTTGACTTTTTTGAAAGATAAGGTACATGAAGGGTATAGGTACATGAAGGGATAAGGTACATGATAAGATACAGAGGGCACATGACAAAAAGGTAGGCACGTGTTCTAACACTGTGACCAAGTCATCTTGTAGACTCCTATGTGGTGCCACAAACTGTGACAAGGCTCATAAAACTTTTTTGGGTTGGTGTACATCCTCCAGTTCTGCGTTTGAGGTAGCTGCCCTTGGGTGCCTTATATTTACAGAGAGATGATTGCTATCCTAAAAATTCAGTATCAGGCTATGTAATTATGTTGACACTTTCTCGGATGGTAGGCGGCTTGGTTCCAGGACGCCCCTAAAGTCGAGGAGGCCGCCCACCCCTTTGTTGGATGGAGATTTGTCTGTGAGAGGCCCTCTGCATTTCTGTCTGTTCATCTTGCCTGGCAATGTTCTGTGGAGCCGTTCCTTCCTGGTTTTTTTTTTCGTTGTTTTTTTTGTCGCCACAAACGCTGTTTTTGCGGCTGTCACCACAGCAAACCGGCGAGACTTGGTGACAGAGTATGGCCAGTAACGACAGCGGCTGGGTCGGATAATAGCTGATGCAGCGTAATTGAACGCAGGACGGACGAGTTATTGCGGTGCAGCACCCGCATATGCCTGTTTGTTTTGTTTTTGTTGTTTTTGGTTGTTGCTTTTTTGTTCACACTTGTTTTTTGCAAGAACGATGGAACCTACAGCATATTTCGATGTATCGGCATCCATGCTCCAGTGATGGCTGTCAAGATTCCACTGTGGTTTTTAGGCTGGTTTTCAGGTTTCGAATCCTCGTCTTCAGAGGGTGGGAATCCGCAGGATTTAAATCTTCAGATCCTTACCTGTAGTAGATGCCCGGTTAGGTAAAATTGAGAGTATCGGACTAAATAGGGGATTTCTCAGATTATCCAGCCTACTGACAGCATATGGATGCGAGAAGGTCGTCGTTCACTTCAGGAGATTGTTGTTCCAGGTGTTGATTAATGCATTCTTCGGCCATTAATTGATTGCCGAATGCATCCGTTCCTCGCCCATTTATTTGAAGAGTTGTTCTGGGCCGAAGTTCACATATTCAGTAAATGCCCATTGCATCTGGACACCAACCCATTGTGTGGGCGGAAAGCGGACGCCAACGGACAGCAGGCAGAAGACAACAGCAGTACCGCTTCGAAATCACGATAGTAAACCCTGATGTCGGCAATTTTAGTCCCATCTGTAAACCGATCTTGTCGCTGCTGACGATCTTTTCGGCTCATGTTGCCGCTTTCCGTCCTTTTTGACCGTGTTCCACTCGGTGTTCACCGTTGTCAATGTCTCTCCGCCCTCAGATTCGCCAAGAACGTTACTGATTGAAGAAAATGGCATCCAACGGCGCAGAGGATGATGAGGTACAGATCACTAGTCATAACATATTTTGCTGTAATCGCCGTGGTCAAACACTTCACCCCTGACCTCTGGCTGGCTTGCCTTGCGTCTTTATGCGTTTTTGTTTAATAACACGGTCCGGCATTAGGAACCTGTGACCCGAATCCCGCCCCGTGTGGCGCTATTAACTAAAGAAGACTTAGCCTAGGCTCGGTGTGTTTAACTATGTGGGGAGGTTCGAGATGCCAGTGGAATTAGTCGGAGGCCTAATGGCCTTCGGAATGGTCACGCATGAGCAGGTGGACCAGCAATGAGCCGTGCCGTGCTGTAGCCTTATGAGATGGCATTGCAGTAGGCGCCGCCAACACTGTGCGTACAAATGATCGTGTGTGTGCTGTGATCATTCCGGGATTATAGAAGGAATCACTAGTCGGACTGACCTCCGTGACAGCAAAATAGATCCTTCGCATAATGGGTGGATCAGTATATAGTTTCGCTACCTCGTCGTAGGCGTTTCGTGAAATAACATGCATACAGCTATTCACGTGGATCAGCTGTTTCGCTAAGTGTGATGTTCATTTTTGCGGGAGAAGACCGGTAAAAGTGCGGCGTATCGAGCTGACGCCGCTCTGTTCTCTTTAGTTTCAGGATGCCGTGGAAGAACAAGCCACGATCAAGTAAGTAGGCGTGTCATCCGTGAGAATGCCGTGGATTATCTCACATGTGCTTATTCAGTGAAGTGCAGCAGCTTCACTTCGACGCTTCGCGGGCTTACCTTGCCGTTGTAATCACTCCAGTCGACCTCGATGTGGCGGATGTGCAGTTTACAAACTGTAACCGTTTAATCACGATGCATTTTTGGGGACTAAAGAACATGTTTCTTGTGGTAGGACACAATTGAAATGGCACTTCTTGATGTATGTACGCCTCTGGATTACATTCTGCTGGCTTGCACTGAGCTGCTCGCGCTGACCAAGCTGGTTCGCACCGTGCTGTCTGCTGTCCGTGCTTACCAAGCAGGTTCGCATTACGCTCTGGGCTGGCCAAGCGGGTTCGCACTGTGCTGTCTGTGCTGGCCACGTTGGTTCGCACTCTGCTCTGTGTTGACCAGGCTGGTTCACACTGTGCTGTCTGTGCTGACCAACCTGGTTTGCGTCGTGGTTATCCCTTTTCACGTTGGTCATTTTGGTAGTTGCTTTCAAACTTCGTCCTGCGGTGTTTTTTTGGAGGCTGACTGTAGCCAGCTTTATCAGTGCCGCTGCAAGATAGCGCTGCCCCGGAATCGAGCCGTTCCTTTATCGTGTGTAGCATTTCATCGCGAGCATACGCTGCCAGAACGATAGCCTGGTGTCCGCTCCACGGCTGCGGGGCCACCGCTCGGCCGGTCCTGAGCCCTGCTGACCTGGCCGGTCTTGAGCCCCGTTGACCTGGCCGGTCCTGAGCCCGCTGACCCGGCCGGCGCGCCGCAGGCTGCCCGACCACCACGGGGCCATGACGCTGGAGCGGGCGTTGGACGAATGCCGCGTCGCCGTCCGCTACTTCTTCAACAACCAGTTCGACGAGGCGCGTGACCTGATGCGGCCCTGGTCAGTGGCGGGGCTCTGGGTGACGCTCGGGTGACGGCGCAGTCGGGCGCGACCCCGGCCGCCGTTGTCCGCCTGCCGGGCCCGGTACGGCTTCCCCGCCGTATCGACCGGCCCTCAGTCCAGACCGGACGACCAGCTCCGCCCCCGCCCCCTCCCCTCCGCCCCCTGCCCGCACCCTCCCTCGGCGTCTGCCCCCGCACACCCCCTCAGCGCCCGCACCCTCCCTCCCGCCCCGCCATTCGTGCATTCTTCCACCTGCCCACGCCCAGGGTTTACAGCCTTGCTTGGACGTGTTGTCATGTAGTGAATGAAGGGTGCCATGAGGCTCTGCATGACTGCAAACACCGGCTGAGTGTCGTGTGCCATTCATCACACAACACTGGACCGGTGTTCAGTGTTGTGCGATGGATGGCACACAACCATCAGTCCGGGTGTTTTCTAACCTGCACATGTGGGCCCTATATGACCATTATAGTCTGAACACCCCCAAGCCCAGATCATCATCATCAATCTGCTTATGTTGTATTCGGAAGAAAGCAAATATGCGTTTTGGTGCGGTAAATGCCGTGTTTTAGTCATGAAACAATCACCAGAAGACCGACGTCCTGGTGCTCCCACTGTTCGCCATGAAATGCTATGACTGTAGTCACTAGCCGGAGCGCGTCAATTCATTCATTCGGAGTGAATTTGTCAGAGGCTTAGCGAAGAACGGTTGGCGAGCGGTATTTTGGTTTGCCTAAATTTGCCTTCTAAAATCATCTCACGTTCGTGATGATCGCGGCCACCACAATAATCGTTGATTACACGAAGTTTGTTGGATGGATTTTGGTCACAGTACATTGGGTACGTTCATGTTGTGCATGGCTCTATCTCACTTAGCTCAGGCTCTGGCATGTTGTATTTAAAAGCAAGTAGTAAAAAGGCGACATTACGCGCTTCCCGGCCGATGGCTTCCACTCCTTTAGTTCGCACCGAGCTAAACTGGCTATTGGGCCTATGGTTAGTACATTGGCCTTCACCACGCGGCTGCTTTCGAGCCTATATCTGTACGAGTCGCTGGGATCTGACGCAAGGCCTTAAAAACACAAACAAAAACTGCGCGGCTTGAGTTTTTGCTGGAGCGTGCGCCACCGGCGGCAAACATTGGCGCAGACATTGGTGCAAACGTGTGTCGGTGCGTTACCCCGCTCTTTCTTCAGTTTAACGATGTCGCCCAGCGGCACTTGGTGCGAATCCCAGAGCGGAGCACCGCCTGGCTCGACTGGCAGGGAGGAAGGCCGGTTGAAACCTGGCCAAAGGGATCAGTCTGGCCTGGGAAGGCCGTGTTCTCAGACAACGACGCGTATACTACTCCGCGGTCCCGTCTGGCAGTGAGATCGTGGCGAAATTATCGGAGGAATTGTTCGGCTTATCTATGATGGCGGTCTGCTTGTACAGCGACACACACGGTATGTTTTGCTGGACGAGTGCTGTGAACCCCAAGCACCCATGCAAACCATTCGAAACATATCTTTCAGAAACAACTCAAATTGCATGGAAGTAGTGTGGATCGGTTTGCGTTAGCTTTTATGTCTTTTATACAATGACGCTCCCGCTGTTTGGAGGAGCGTCCTTGTACATAAGACATAAAAGACATTGTGTAAAAGACATAAAGGACATTGTATAAAGACATCCCCCTTTTTATCCCGTGCAGATAAGGTGTCTGTCCCGTATGCTAGGACTGTTGTATGCGCCAAGGCGCTGAGTGTTGACGATTGGCAAGCCGACTTGCCGCGTTCCTACCTCAGTCGTTGTGTACCACAGGCGGGACTCCAGCATCTACCACGCCATGGGTTACGGAACTATGCTCTACCTGCAGGCTATCATGACCTTTGACCCGGTGAGTGATGCGGGGCGACAGCGCGCAAGTCAGCAGAAGGTCACGGATTTCTTTATGGATCAGTCGCCGTTGGTAAACATAGCCGATGGTGTTAGGTGCCGTGTCCTACAGTACTGGAGAGTCGAGACAACCACTGCTATGTTATTTTTCAGGGCAAAATATGTCGGGAAGGCGTGATAGCACTGTTAACGACGAAGATCCTCAGTGCAAGCACGTGTAACGGCTGCATTGAACGCAATCGTGAACTTGTTAACTTAACGCCGTCGTTATTGCACACATTGCAATCCCGTAATTCTCCTCAAACCACGCGCGAGCGAGTAACGTACCCTGGGGATCCGTGTTGAGCGATTCTGTGATGAGGGCCAGCTGAGCGGCTTCTGTGATGTCGTTTGGCTCGTGCTGAGCGGCTCCCGTGATTTGGTTCGTGATGGGGGGGCTCCCGTGATTTGGTTCGTGATGGGCGGCTCCCGTGATTTGGTTCGTGATGGGCGGCTCCCGTGATTTGGTTCGTGATGGGCGGCTCCCGTGATTTGGTTCGTGATGGGCGGCTCCCGTGATTTGGTCCGTGCCGGGCGGCTCCCGTGATGTGGTCCGTGCTGGGTGGCTCTCGTGATGTGGTCCGTTCTGGGCGGCTCCCGTGATGTGGTTCGCGCTGAGTGACTCCCATGGTGTCCGTGCTGAGCGGCTCCCGTGATGTGGTTCGTGCTGGGTGGCTTCCGTGATGTGGTTCGTGCTGGGCGGCTCCCGCGATGTGGTTCGTGCTGGGTGGCTCCCGTGATGAGGTCCGTGCTGGTTGGCTCCCGTGGTTTGGTTCGTGCTGGGCGACTCCCGTGATGTGGTTCATGCTGGGTGGCTCCAGTGATGTGGTTCATGCTGGGTGGCTCCCGTGATGTGGTTCATGCTGGGTGGCTCCCGTGATGTGGTTCGTGCTGGGCATCTCCCGTGATGTGGTTCGTGCTGGGCGACTCCCGTGATGTGGTTCGTGCTGGGCGGCTCCCGTGATGTGGTTCGTGCCGGGCGACTCCCGTGATGTGGTTCGTGCTGGGTGGCTCCCGTGATGTGGTTCGTGCTGGGCGTGCTCCCGTGATGTGGTTCGTGCTGGGTGGCTCCCGTGATGTGGTTCGTGCTGGGTGGCCCCCGTGACGTGGTTCGTCCTGGGTGGCTCCCGTGATGTGGTTCGTGCTGGGCGACTCCCGTGATGTGGTTCGTGCTGGGCGGCTCCCGTGGTGTGGTTCGTGCCGGGCGACTCCCGTGATGTGGTTCGTGCTGGGTGGCTCCCGTGATGTGGTTCGTGCTGGGCGTGCTCCCGTGATGTGGTTCGTGCTGGGCGACTCCCGTGACGTTGTTCGTGCTGGGCGACTCCCGTGATGTGGTTCGTGCTGGGTGGCTTCCATGATGTGGTTCGTCCTGGGCGACTCCCGTGGTGTTGTTCATGCTGGGTGGCTTCCGTGATGTGGTTCGTGCTCACCTGACGGGGCGCCGACAGCGGGACATCGAGGCGGCCGTGGAGGTGCTGCGCGCCAGTGTGGAGGTGTGTAACCGCGCGCGGCGCAAGAGCACGCTCGGCGAGACCGTGACCAAAATGGTGAAGAAGCCCGACTACCGTCTGTACACGGAAGGTAAGCCACCGTCGCTACCGGCCGCTGAGAGCTCGTGTCGGTACTGGTCAGCAGAAGTGAGCCACCGTCGCTGCCGGCCGCTGAGAGCTCGTGTCGGTACTGGTCAGCAGAGGTTACGTGCCATGTGCAGTTAGTCCGAGCCGTTGAGGCGGTGGCATCCGTGGAACATTCACCCGATGGAGCCGCCGAGCCCGCTGTTTGTGTCGCTGTCTGTTGTGTCCGGGCGGCTAGGTTTGTTGTGTGGTACGTCTGTCGGCCCCGGGGCCTTCTCTAGTTGCGGCGCTTCACTCTCTTCCCGCTTTCCGCGGAGAGGGACATGGATTGGTGTCATTCGGAGTGGCGTATGGAATAAATGACAGTCGTTCTCAAGGGTACATGCTTATTCGCCACGTCGGTCGTGTATCTAGCATTTGTGCGAAGGAGCCCTCGGTAACGCTTCGGTGAAATACCATGCAGCCCGCGCACTCATGTGTTGCGCCGCAGCGCGCGTGCCGACTGAGAGGACAGGGGGGGGGGGGGGGGAGAGGGGCAGCGGCCCGAACTCATAGCCCGGCGCAGACGCGTGGCGGCTTTGTTGGCGCGTCTCCAGCCGGGGTTGACGGGCGTGTCGCTGTTGCAGAGGAGGCTCACGCCGAGCTCTGTTACGCTGAATGTCTGCTCCTGCGGGCCGTGCTCAACTTTGTCGAGGATGAGACGCTCATCAGCCTGGTCAGAGGCGGTCTCAAGGTCAAGACGTGTTACACCCTGCTACCGGTGAGCGCCTCCCTCTCCCCGACGCGTCCCCCACCCCACCCTCTGATCTGGGCGTCGACGGAGCGGGCTCTATCTGGCACAGCTTGGGTGGTTGGGCCGCGAGGGAGAGGTACGATCCCCGGCACGTGTGCGGGGAGTTAACAGGCACGCATATTCGCCAGATTTAGCTGCATAACACCATGGTAATGTGTGCAAGCTGCCCTCAGCGACCGGCGCGCACGAAAGTCCCTCCGCTCCCCACCAAGAAGGCGCGAAGATTGAGATAAATTGTTGGGTTTTTGTGCCGCCACCTGTGATTTACGTTTTGGTAGCGTTGGTGTTATTCACACCGAACACGTTCGCCCGGGCTATGCCGCGGTTATGCTGACGCACAGCTGAGGACGCTGGCCCACTTTGTGACTAAGAAGCAGTGCACACATTCGAGGCAGAAATCAATAGATTCCCCGAACGACCGCAGGGGCTTAACGGTCACGGCATCGCAAGCCGTCGGATATTAACGTCCGTCATGTCCGACACACTTTGGGTCCGTTCGCAAGGGGCCGTTAGGAGTTTCTGAGCGCGGGTATGTGCATGATCATTATCTGTTGTAATGTGCACCCAGATGGTCACAGTGGAGCTTATCACAGACCAGAGCCGGAACTGAAAATCGCACTATGCTGTTCTGATTCAGTACATGAAGAAAATTCTGTTTTAACATGCGTTCCACTGCCAGTACACAAATTGTGTCGTTTCCGTTCAAATCAGAACTGTTCGTTATGTACAGCTTTCCCAAGGGCGTGACTCCCAACATGGTGCCAAGTTGCGTTGTCACCACGTGACCGCACCATGTCACGTGCGGGATTGCATTTTCACGCGGGTGGTAGTCGCGTTCCGAGTCTGCCTGGCGCGGCTCCGGTCTCGTCACCGGCGGATTTCTGCCTGCCGACTGCAGATGACCGCCGTGTTTGGGGCCGGCAGGGACTGCTGGCAGATGCTGAAGCACAGGGACTGGACCGGCTCCAAGACCAAGCAACACTTTGAAGGCGGCGTCCGGCTCGGTGTGGGCACGTTCAATTTGGTAAGTCGTCCGACCGCGGACAGACGGCCGTTCTCGAGTGTGGTGATGTGATTGTATGGAACCAGATATGTAACAGGATGTAGCAGTACCGAGTCCGATCCGAACCGATCTGGAGGTGTGCTATCTCTTTACAGCCGCGTGCCTCGAATGATATCAGACTGTAGTGGGATAACCGCAGGGGAATGGGCGCGTGTTCTCATCGAATATGTCGTTGCTTCCTGGAGTCGTTATGATTCGCGTATTTCTGTCGGCAGATGATCTCACAACTTCCGGCGAAAATCTTGAGGTTGCTGGAATTCGTCGGGTTTACTGGGAACAAGGTGGGTGGACATGCGTGACGTTGCCACGTGTGCTATACTGTCATATATTGGCGATTGTGCCTTCGAGTGGGGTTAAACTCATAGCAAAGTGAATGGTATGATGGATGTGGCTGGTTTTAAGTTCCAAAAGATTCTGTTTGACTTAAGTTCAATGCCAACGTGTGAATTCGCGATCCAAACCGACCTTAAAATATTGTAACATTGCATGGTAGCCGAGTGAAATACGTATGCACACTGCGCTGCTTTGTCGAAACGTGGGGTAATGGTTAGAGAAAGGGTTCAACGCGTGGGAAGGTGATATTATTCTCTGCTTTCTCGGCCGCTGCTCAACTTTAGCGCTGAAGCTCATGGCTGCCTGTGTTGCGTTTTTTAGGCTTTCCGTCATTTGTTGAAGGGTCCGAAAAAAATGCAGTCATATGATGAGGTGAATACTATGTGGACGCGTCCCATAAGAGTCCCAGGGTAAAATTGTTGTAGGCGACAGATGTTAACAGTCTTCGCGCTCTGGTGTTACGCTTCATCAGGCGAAAGAGGTGAGTATGCCGTATCTTTGTGTCATGCATCGCAGCAGGACTTGCGTATACGACTCCTTGGGCGCATGGTATTTCGTGAGATGCGGCCATGCATCGGATCCTGCTGCGCCTGTCATCAGGCCCAACAGGGTGTGTGCCCCTGTCGGATGTATTTCCTGTCCTACCAATGCCAAGCTCATGTGGAAGCCAAATGTTTCCGCATGCAGGATGCGTTCGCTTCCCAGCGCACGTTCGCCTGAGGGCTGTGGTCAAAACGTCGTAGGCATCTGCACGGTGTTTGTTTTGGGTAACAGTGTCGGCTGGCGCCAGGTCGGGCATGGTCGGGACCTGTTATCAGTGTCCCTGGTCGCCGAGTCCTGCAGCGAGATAGGCCCATGGCATGCCTTGGATAGAGGCGAGCAGCGCGTGACTGTAGTGTGCGCGTTATAAACTGATGAGCGCTATAGAGCATGGACCGCGCGGAACCGTGGAGATAATTGGCAATCAAAATGTGTGGAAAAACAACGTTTGGATTGCCACACCAGAGGCCTATATATATATATATATATATATATATATATATATATATATATATATTATAACATCATATAAACCGGTTGGCATCGTGGGTAACAAACGGACTTCATGGACCCATCCAATCGTGGTTCGTTGCCGCATGACATTTTCAGTTCATGGTGTTTATGGCGGTTCTGGGGATGTCAGCTGCATTCTTAGGGAATGACGTGTGCTTGTGTTGACGGGTCACGTGTCATGCGTCCTTACCATCACTGAAGTGGTGAGGTCTGCGGGGGCGTCCGGTCCGGGCCATGCAGACCAGTCTGCTACACATATGTCACGCGAGGGGTGTGTTCAGAGTGCCTTTAATGAGGTCTTGAGCCCAGTTTGTGACTCGGTAGCCCTCGGTGTCTGACTTTGCGCACTGCTCGCCATGCCGCCGCCGGCGCTGGAATGACTCTTCGCTGGCCGTTGCTGACCCCGCCTGCACTCCCTGTGACCCCTTCATCGTTGGGTGGGGAGCTGCCGGCGCTTCCGAACTGTTTTGGTCCCGCCCGCTCTCTCGATGATCTCTCCCCTCCCCGTCGGTGAGGGAGCCCGTCCCCGGCCGCTGCTGACCCGGCCCGTCTCTCGATGACCTCTCCCCTCCCCGTCGGTGAGGGAGCCCGTCCCCGGCCGCTGCTGACCCGCCCGCTCTCTCGGTGACCTCTCCCCTCCCCGTCGGTGAGGGAGCCCGTCCTCGTCCGCTGCTGACCCGGCCCGCTCTCTCGATGACCTCTCCCCTCCCCGTCGGTGAGGGAGCCCGTCCCCGGCCGCTGCTGACCCGCCCGCTCTCTCGGTGACCTCTCCCCTCTCCGTCGGTGAGGGAGCCCGTCCCCGGCCGCTGTGACCCCGTCCGCTCTCTCGGTGACCTCTCCCCTCCCCGTCGGTGAGGGAGTCCGTCCCCGGCCGCTGCTGACCCGCCCGCTCTCTCGGTGGCCTCTCCCTCCCCTCGTGAGGGAGCCCGTCCCCGGCCGCTGTTGACCCCGCCCGCTCTCTCGGTGACCTCTCCCCCCCGTCGGTGAGAGAGCCCGTCCCCGGCTGTTGACCCCGTCCGCTCTCTCGGTGACCTCTCCCTTCCCCGTCGGTGAGGGAGCCCGTCCCCGGCCGCTGCTGACCCGCCCGCTCCCTCGGTGACCTCTCCCCCCCCCGTCGGTGAGGGAGCCTGTCCCCGGCCGCTGCTGACCCCGTCCGCTCTCTCGGTGACCTCTCCCCTCCCCGTCGGTGAGGGAGCCCGCCCTCGGCAGCTGCTGACCCGGCCCGCTCTCTCGGTGGCAGGACGTGGGCCTGCGCGAGCTGGAGGCCGGCTTCGGGCTGGCGGACAGCATCCACCGATCGCTCTGCAGTCTGGTGCTGCTCGGCTACCACCTGGTGGCCACATACTTCCTCAGCAACTCGGAGGGCGACCTGGCCGGCTCGGAGCGCATCCTCTCCGAGGAGCTGGTGGTGAGGCTCAGCTCCCCCGCCGAGGGCCGTCGCGCGGAGGCGGGTGGTGAACGGCCTCCCCAGGCTGCTGGATCGGCCGCTCTCGGTGTCGGTTGGTGTGGGCGTATTTCAGGCGTTTCAGGCCGTGTTTGGGAGCGTTTTGCGGGGCATATGAAGCGCTGCTCGGATTTATTGGTAGGTTTGACGCCCGACGTAGAGACGCTGGGATGTGAGGATGT